ATGGAAGGATGTGAGACTCCATTTGTGTTCAAATGTTGGACCTTGCTTCATTTGCACTTACCAGGAAAGAAATATAGTTATGGCTTTAAATTTTTGGCCTTCAATATAACATATTATATTTTATTATAGAGTCTTCTGAGAAACATACAATGCTTGGATAGTATCAATTTCATAAATTTTACTTTTTTTATTTTTTCCAGGAAACTTGAGAGTCAAGCATGAAAAGCTTTGAGGGCTGTCATTTCCTCAGGCTGGAGAAGAGGCCAGATGAACCCTGTATTCCAAGTCTTAACAATACAGCAGTGAATTCACTCATAAAAGCTGAATAATTTTGGCTCTTTTTATCAGACAATAGCTTGATTGCATTGCTCGGTTTCTTGATTTAAGGAGCAAAGTGACAAAAGCAGATACAGGCACAGAAGAAAGCTCCAGGTTAGAAGACAAAGGCCAGGATATGTGTGAAATGTGATGCAAACAGCCACTAAACATACTACCAGAGCCTCATTTCAGTGGATGGTTCTATCCCTAGCTGGGTGGTGGGGAAGGGGTTAGGCCCTCAGGTTGATTTAGATAAAGTTACGGGAGAATTCTGTAGATACTTTTCTAAAGAAAACTATTCAAATGCCGTTCAATTTTAAATACATATTGCATTTTTCATTGAGAATATAATGTGACTTCATTGTTCTTGAACATTTACCTTAATATATTTGAGCATCTTCTTTATCAGACATTGTGGTAGGTGTTGGGAATTCGACAATGAGCAAGACACATGGAGCTCACATTTTAGACAAGGAGTCTGGCAACTACTGAAATCATTGCTGAGTGGCATAAGTAATAAAAAGGAAGTAGTGCTTTGATAGATAGTGATGGTGATATTAGATTGAATGGCCATGGAAAGTCTCTCAGGAGCTGACTTAGAAGGTGAGGATGGAAGGAGGAAGAGTTAGATATCCAAAGAACTAGGGAGTAGGGAGTATAGAACACTGCAGGCAAGGAAAATAGCGAGTGCACAGATGCAAGTTAGAAGAGTTTGACATGTTGTCTGGTTGAAAGCATACAAGCAATGAAGAAAGTTCCAGACATTCCAGGAACCAGATAATGTAAGACAGTATAGGACACACTAAGGACTTTATTCCAGGGCAATGGTAACTCACTGAAGGCTTTTCAGCAGGGCTTTTTTTTTTTCAACATGATCTGACTCTTCTTCTGGCTGCTGGATTTTTTTTTTTTTTTTTTTTTTAAATGAATTGAAAAGGAGTAAGAATGGAACCAAAGAGCCCATTTCAGAGACTATGGCAGCAATCAAAGCAGAGATAATAGTCGTTTGGACCAGGATATTGGCAGTGAGAATGGTGAGAAATGGATAAATTTGGCATTTATTTTGGAAGCAGAACTGACTTCTTGTTGATGGACCAGATTTGGGAGGAGAGAGTGTGAAGAGAAAGAAAAATTAAAGAGTCTGGCTTGAAGAAAAAGTGGTAGAAGACAAAACAAATTTTGGGGGAAAGTCAAATGTTTTAGTTTGGGGCATATTAAACTTGTGATGCTATTGTACTTGGCAGCATAATGAGTTTTCAGGAGGGAAAATGTAGAGCACCATTTGATAATACAGAGAGACAGCCAAGACAAAAAGCCAGCAGTGAGTAGAACAGGAGAAATGAGAAGCCAAAGAGGCAGGAGTAGGGAATGCTAATCATAGCACAAAAATGAGTGAGTTCTATGATGGAGGAATAGTTAGGAATAGAAGCAGAAAAAGAATGATGAAGAAGGATGAGCAGTTGCAAGGAACCAGAAAGTGATAGAAACTGAGGAGGGAAAAGAGAGAAAAGGTATAAAGTACTATTGGATGTTTTCTTTACACTAATCTACAAAATGGGAGCTCTGATAGCATAGTGCCTAAGGCACTTGACTGCTAACCAGAAGGCTGGCAGTTCAAACCCACCAGCCACCCCTCGGAAGGCAGATGGGGCAATCTACTTCCATAGTGATACTGCCTCGGAAACCCAAGGAGGGGTCGCTATGAGTTGGGTCTGACTCGACAGCAAACAACAACAATCTACAAAATATATTCAACGATTGAATGCTGTCTTAGTGATCTAGTGCTGCTATGACAGAAATATCACAAGCTGGTTGCTTTAAAAAACAAATTTATTTTCTCACATATTAGGAGGCTAGAAGTCCAAATTCATGATGCCAGCTCTAGGGGAGGGCTTTCTCTCTCTGTCAGCTCTGGAGGAAGGCCCTTGGCTCTTCACCCTCTGCTTCCTTAGAGATTTCCATGTATCCTGCCATCTCTCTTACCCCATCTCTGCTTGCCTGCTTGCTTGTTTAAATCTTTTATGTCTCAAAAGAGACTGACTCAAGATACACTAATTCTGCTTCATTAATATCACACAAAGACAACCTGTTCCCAAAGGGACTTAAAATCACAGGCATAGAGGTTAAGATTTACAATCTCTTTTTTGGGGACACAATTCAATCCATAATAGATGTCCAGTGTGGTAAATTGAATTATGGCCCCCAAAATATCCAAGCCCTAATCCCAGAATTTATGAATGTTACTTTACATGGAAAAAGAGACTTTGCAGGTGTGATTATGGATTTTGAGATGGGGAGATTATCTTGTATTATCGATGTGAACCTTAAATGGAATTATAACAATTTATGAAGGGAAGGCAGAGGGAGATTGGACTAGAGAAGGAGGCGATGTGACCACTGAAGCAAGATGCTGTACTGTTGGCTTTGAAGATGAAGGAAGGCATTAGAAACCAAACAATACAAGGAAATCAGCTCTGTAAACCCCATTGTGAGTCAATTCTGATTCACAGTGACCTTACAGGATAGAGAAGAACTGCCCCACAGGGTTTCTGAGGTTGCAGAGCTCTGGTGGTACAATGGTATGGCATTTGTCTGCTAACCAAAGATTGGTGGTTTGAACAAAGATGAGGCTGTCTGCTTCTGTAAAGATTTACTGCCTTGGAAATCCAATGAGGGTCATCATGAGTTGGAATTGACTTGATAGCAGTGAGTTTGGTTTTTTTGGTTTGAGTCTTTACAGGAGTAGAGTGCCACATCTTTGTCTCACAGAGAGGCTGGTGGTTTTGAATTGTCAACCTTTCAGTTAACAGCCAAGCGCTTAACCACAGTACCACCAGGGCTCCTGATACAGCTCTCAAAGTTGGAAATGGCAAAGAAATGGATTCTCCCCTACAGCTCCTGGAGGGAGCACTGCCATGCCAGTAAGGTGATTTAGGCCCAAGAAGTCTTACTGCAGACTTCTGACCTCCAGATCTGCAAGGGAAAGTGTGTTGTTTTAAGCCATCAAGTTTGTGATAATTTATTACAGCAGCCATCAGAAACTAATGCACCTGGGGAAAAAAGCACTGTCCTCATCAGGTCTGTCTGCACTCCCATTCATCTGAGAAAAGGGACAGTTATGATCAGTGCTCTTGTAAAGGTACAATTTTATCCATAACATAATAGATTCATCACTGATTCAGTGTCTGGCTGGCAGCACTGTATATTTAAGAATGAATTGTCCTTGGTTCATGAGGCATGATCACATTGAGGAGGACTAACATGTACTAACCTAGTTCACAAAAGAGAAATATAAACCAGAATGCCAATGTATTGGTTTACTCATGGAAATATAAATACTAAGCATATCAGTTTATCAGATCAGCAAGAGTATGCTGCTTGGTGTTGCTTGGGAAACACAAAACCAGAATGAAGACAACTGGCCAATTTTATCAAAATCCCACAGTCTGATGCACTAATCTCCTTTATTTGATTAGAACGTTTATATCAACCAGGCAGATCCCTTCTCTACTGACTGTGTTGGGACATACTCACAAATTCCAACTTGTAGGCACCAACTTTCTGTCCTCAAAGGACAGAAGCCATCTGTCAGAGATGATGCAGAAAGGAGTTATGCACTGGGTGATCCTTTCAACTCAGAATTTTATTCTGTAACAGTGATTCATTGTCATTGAAAGCAGTTTATTTAAATCCTCTCAAGTCCAAAATTCAAGCCTCTTCGTGGAATCAGTAAGTCACTAGCATGCCATCTACTGTAGCTTACATACACACTTAATTGCAAATCTAATCAATAATATTCTGAGTGTGGAGCTATAGGGATTATTCACCATGACTTTCATAGTTAAAAGGCCATTATTTGCTACTTGCCGTCTTGGTAAGATATGGCTGACATAAATCAGTCCAGTAGTTTTAATGTTAGTATAAACTGAAAAACTAGCATAAAGTACACGGAGCTCTGGTAGCATAGTGCCTAGGGCACTTGACTGCTAACCAGAAGGCTGGCAGTTCAAACCCACCAGCCACTCCTCAGAAGGAAGGTTGGGCAATCTACTTCCGTAGTGATACCGCCTCGGAAATCCAAGGAGTCATTATGAGTGGGATATGACTCGATGGCACACAACAACAATAACAGTATAAACTACTTAAGACTAATGAACAACGAGTGAATTGACTACGTGACCTTTAACAAATCACTTTTTTTCTTTCGGCCTCAGTTAGCTTGTCTATAAATGTCGGTTAAATTTCACGAATTCTTTAGTGTTCCCAGCTCTAAAATTCAATGACTGGGAAATACGACCACAGAAAGTTAATATTCTTTTGCTTATTTGTAGGGAATTAAATCCATTTTATGGAACTCCTCTGAAGAATTATTTTAGACAAATTTGAATTTTAATAGTTTATCAAGTAGGTGCCATAACTATTCAGCAGATAACATCCTAGCTCTTACAGAGCTAATCATTAAATGGGAGGGATATTCACTCATTAAGTATAGACACACAAAAAAACCTACGACCATTTTTGTAGAACAACTTCTTTATTTTTCACTTTTACCAAAAGGAGAATGTTGGGTACCAAGGCAGAAATAACGCTTGGTCATCCCCAGGGAGTGGGGAAGAGGGCCATGCCAACGGAAAGGAAGAGTAAGGCCATTTGTGCAGTTCCCTCCATGAAGAGGGCAAGGTCTAGGTCAGTCTACGGAGACCTTGATTGTATGCCTGCTTTTTTGAATGTCTAGGTCTCCGTCTCCAGTGAACGTATGGGCCACGAGGGCGATACCGGGGGAAACCTTTATGAACCACTGGGGCCGGCTGCTGACAGTAGGGTGTGGGGAAGACCGGTACAGGTGGCTGAGGACTAAACATAAAGCTATCTTCCATGGCAAATTCTACGTGGGTAGGTAAAGAGACATCTAAGTGGAAACAGTCGGAGAACTGATCCAACTGGAGAGGCTGGTGTGAGAAAAAACTGGAACCTTGGGCATAGGGTGGGAACTGGGGCATCTCCTGGGGAAGGGGCATGGGATATGGCTGTGGTAAGGAAAACGACTTGGGCAGCCGCGCTGGGGGTGGGTTTGGGGGTGGGAACCGTAACTGCGGTCTACAGCAGAGCAGAGGCATGGGTGGGGGTGGGGGTGGGGGTGGGTATGGGGGCGAAAACAAGCCCCATGGATCTCTGCTAATCTGGGGCTGCCTCTCAACCTCCTGGCCAACTCGCCCCCTAACCGGATCATCTTCGATCCACTTGCTCAAGGGCTCTCGGTGGGGCAGGTCCACACCCCAGGCATCGGCCACGTGGGCTAGCAGCAGCTGGGAGAGGTGTCGGTGCGCACGTTCATTCCAGTGCACGCCGTCTGACTGCCGGTGCTGCCCCGAGTGGCGGAAGTGGAAATGCAAGTCCAGCACGTCGAAGTGGTGTTTCCTCGCCTCAGCAGAGCTGTAGAAGTTGGCTTCCACCACTTCTTCAGGCAGGGAGGTGGGGCAGAACTCTTGCTCAGGCGGGAGGAAGCCCCCGCTGATTTTCGCGCCCAAGGGCATGGCTGTGTTCCATACCAGGAGGCACTGCTTTGGTAGCATCTGATCCAGGCGCCAGAACAGGCTCTCCAGATTCTGCCGGTAGCTCTTCCAGGAGTACGGACCATACCTGGAGAGGTCCCAGAGGCAGGAGTTCATGATGAACACATCAGGGGCATAGCTGCCCTGATGCAACTCTTCCAAGATGGCCTCGAGGTATTCAGAGTACACCCGCGTGAGGAAGTAGAAGCGTACCAGATGATGCCCAGAACAGAACTGGCGGACTTCACGGTACTGGGTCCCATTGGTCATGAGGCCCTTCTGACCCCCGTCCAGCAGCTCATCCTGTTCGAAGCTCAGCTCCCCTTTGGTCTTGAGCTGTTTTGGGGTGAGCAGGCAATCCTTCTGCAGCAGAAGCACCAGGTCCTTGTACACAGCCCTCTGGATGGAGTCCCCCAGAACGACCACGAACTTGTTGTGGAGCAGCTGCCGGACTTCGGAGGCGAGCAGGTGGACCATGGTGCCGAGGGCAGGTGGCCTAGAGCCTCCTTTTGTACACGGTAGGTCTGCGGATTGCTAGGACAGAAGGAGAGAACTGCTGGGAGAAGCCCATGCGAGGTCATTGAGGGGGACAGCGCAAGGAAGGGGCTGGAACTTTGGCCTCGGTTTCTAAGGGGCCAGGGCCTGGGGTGCCGTTCTGCACGCCTGGGCCAGGGAAGTGGGGAGAGAGGGCAGGAAAGGAGCCACACAAACCCTAGCAGGGAAAAGTCCCACTTTAGGCCTGGGACTTGACCTCTGAGCAGTCTGATGCCGTGCTGGAAGACACAAAACACCTCCAAGAGGGGAGGGACTCCAGCATGCCCCACCCACTCATCTGAGGCCAGGCCAGGATGCCTCTTTCACAGACCACTGCTGTTGCTGCTGCTGCTACTACAGGAGAGGAGAGCCTGGGGGCAGCCCAGAAATCTAAAAACTTGGAAAGGTTAGGCAAACTTTACAGCTGTTAGATAAGCAAGAACCTGGGGAATGTTTGTGATATAATGTTAAGTTGAAGAGGTTACATACCACTTTGTGTGCCACATACCACACTGCTGCATACCACTGAAACTATATGAAATGGATATCAGAGAATATTGAAATATGCAAATATGGATAGTTACTATTCGAAAAGCAGGATTATAGATGACTTTTTAATAATATTTTTCTTTCAATTTTATTGCATTGCTGTTAAGAATATGCACAGCAAAACAAAAACCATGTCATCACTTTTTACATACAAGTCAGTAACATTAATTGCACTCTTCTACTTGTGCAACCGTTCTCACCTTTCCCCTGAATTGTTTTTCCCTCATTATCTCTACCTCTCTCTCTCTCTCTCTCTCTCTTTTTTTAATAACCACACTTTGTATGCAAGCTCTGGTGGCATAGTGGATAAGGCACTTGAATGCTAACTGGAAAGTCAGAGCTTCAACCCACCAGCTGCTCCTGGGAAGGCAAACTGGGCCATCTACTTCAGTAAAGACTTACAGCCTCCAAAACTTAATAGGGGTCGCTAGGAGAGTCGGAAATGACTGGATGGCAGCCACACTTTGTATAGTCCTCAATAGTTTTTGTAACTTAAAAAGAATTAAATGCAATGCAACAGGTAACAAAAAGGAAGAGTACATATGCCAGGCTAGAAAATACAATAAAAAACAGATTTAGGAAGGAAACTGCTGTTTCTTACCAGTAGGACAGAAGGTCAATCAAGATAAAACTGGAAATAATTCACATGCATTTCAACTGGAATATTTTTTGCTTTTCATTGAGTAAAATGTTAAAAGCTATGAAAATGCATCTCCAAAACTTCAGATGAAGTTTATTTCAAGCTATCACTTAGCAACTCAAACCCACTAATGAATGAAAGGTAGGCACACTTAATTACTACTCATAATTCTCAACTGGGAACACTGCATCCACTTCATACCCTTCCACAGACGCCATTAAAATCCATTGTGAATTGATATTTGTTGGCTTTTATGCATTTTAATAGATGTGGGTAGATAGCAATTAATAAATAACACATTTTATTTTTAAAAAAACTGTACCATTTGCAGGAGCTCTGGTGGCCTAGAGGTTAAGGCATTTGGCTGCTAAACGAAAGGTAGGTGGTTTAAACCCACTAGTGCTCTGCAGGAGAAAGATAAGACCATCTGCTACTGTAAAGATTTACAGCCTAGGGTCGTTTTAGGTTGGAATCAACTCAATGGCAATAGATTTGGTTTCATTTATACTATTTGTGGTTTAAAATGGGTATAAGTACATAAATAAAAACAAGAAGGTAGGTGGTATATCAAAGAACATTAGGAAATAGTGTGTTATTTTCTCCCCCAAAGCATCTTCATTAAATTTGTGGTAGCGTAGTGCCTAAGGCACTTGACTGCTAATCAGAAGACTGGCAGTTGAAACACACCAGCCACTCCTCAGAAGGAAGGTTGGAAATCTACTTCTGCAGTGACACCACCTCGGAAACCCAAGGAGGGGTCGCTATAAGACAGATCCAACTTGACGGCACATAACAACAACAATCAGAAAACAAAGTTTGCTAATAGTAGCTCATTGTGGAGCCACAAAATAAACATAATTAAAGCAAATTCCAAGTCCTGTTGGAACCGAGGAATGTTCATTGATTCAGATTCATTTAGTCATCCTATTTACATTTATTAAGCATCTATAATGTGCGGCAGTCAGCCGCAGGGGTCCAGGTGAGGAGAGAAAACCCAGGCATGCCCAAAGCAGCAGGGCAGGAGAGTGGGAGAAAGGGGATCAAAAGCCAGGAGCCGGAAAGAAGAGCAGTCAGCCCCAGGGATCCAGGTGAGGAGCGGGAACTCAGCATTCCCAAAGCAGCAGGGCGAGAGAGCCAGAGAAAGGGGATTAAAAGCCAGGAATTCGGACAGAGGAGCAGTCAGCTGCAGGGACCCAGGTAAGGGTGTACCAGAGGTTTCAACAGGGAGACAAACTTGTCTGTCGGTTTGTCCTACCACAGTGACGTGTTGATGTGAGTTTTGAGGCTGAGCCACTGGTGTTTCAAACCAAGCGGGATGCACATGGTGCACAGGTTTCAGCCCAGCTTACAGACTGAGAAAGACTAGGAAGAAGAAAGAGGCCATCCACTTCTCAAAGAATTGGCCAGGGAAAACCTTATGAATAGCAAAGAAACACTGATATATTACCGCACAACTTTATGAATAGTCCAGTTAGGTTACAAGGCTCTCAAAATAGGACTGGGAAAGAGCTGCATCATCTGAGTAAACCCAGCCTTACTCCTGTGGTTAAGGTAAAGCTTTCAAGACCTCCATTTGTTGATGTGGCACCACTCAAATTGAAGAGAAACAGCTGCAGACATCCATTAATCATCAGAACATGGAATGTACGAAGTAT